CCTTGCGTCCCTTTCAATGATCCTGTTTTCCCTTCCCCTTTCCCCTCACCTCTTGTCCTCCCGCCGCCTCTCTCGGCCATCCCACCATGCCGACATGGACGCCTCCGTCGAAAAAAAAAAGACGGTCGACGCCGGGATCCACTACCCCGGAGTGCTGTCATGTAATTTGTGCGCCGAGATCTTCCTGGCTCGACTGATTCCGATCATCCCGGTCAGTGTACGAGTCACGCTCAAGCGCCTGACCGGAGACCTGCGGATCCTGATCAAGAAGCCCCCTTCGCAGCGCATTTGGCTCGGCTTCCACGAGCGCCCGAAGGTGGAGTTGGAGTTCTCGCCCCAGCTTGGTGCCCAGGGGGTGGACTTGCAGGTCCTTCTTCGTTTTTTGGAGAAGCTGGTGCTCGAGGTCATCGACGAGGTGATGGTCCTGCCGAGCATGGAGGACTTCTGGGTCCCGGTCATGTAGGCCTACGTAGTTGTATACCGGGTCAAGCTCCAAACAATGAACTTCCCAGCCTTTGTGGATATGCCCATTGCTTTCCTACGGGGAGGGTTGTGATCTATTTGTCGGTATGCAGTTGGGTGCAAGCAAAAGGAGGTGTACATGGCCACAGGCAGTTCCGCCTACCGGCTGTTAGAAGTATCGCGGGAAGCCCGGGTCCACCTGGTTGGCCCATGCGGTGAAGCCACCGATCATATCAGCGTAAAGGCCTGGCGCGTGGGTCGTCTCGAAGTGGTCCCGCGCGCGCTGGGATTCGTTGCCTCGGCGGCAAAGGGTGATGGCTGGGGGTTTGGTGAGCGAAGGAAGAGCGTATTCGGAGCAGGAGAGGGGGAAGTTGGGATAGCAATAATCCGCCACAGGGCAACATACTCAGGTCCACCGAAGGGGAAGCCTGATGCTTTTTCAGGTTTGACATTTCAACATCTAGAGAGCGTGTTCGTGCGCGCGCACACATGTGTGGTTGTGGTTGTGTGTGTGTGTGGGGGGGGGGGAGAGGGGGAGGGAGAGGAGGGATCGCGAGAAGGAGTGTCACTGGGAGCGAAAAAAGAAGAGCAAACGGAGCCGAGTCACACGTACGAGTCGTGCCAGCCAGATGCGCCATGTTCCAATGGGTCGCCGGGCGAACATCGAGGAGCTCCACGACCAGTCCAGCCTCGAGTTGGGAGAGCGCCGGCGCACTGCCGGCCGGCTGGCCGGGCACCGCAGGGGCCAGGCACGACCCGGCGGACAGGGCGACCGCACTTCGGAGGCGCCAGACGGGACGACAGCCAGCATCCGCACAGCAGCTCTCACTATCGCCAGCAATACGACCACATGCGAGTCCCTCGCGGTCGGCCGCGGACAGAAGGTCCCGGACATCACCGGCCGTCAGCCGGGCATTCGACAGCCCAGGCTGCCCGACCGGATGGACGTACATGCCGCAGTTGAAGTCCGGATGGAGTTTTTGTGCCAAGCCAGGGAACAGCTCCCACCCCGGAGCTGACAGATGCGCGGACCAGGCCCGGATCAGCTCTAGCTCCTGCTGGCGGGCATTCGGCGAAGCCAGTTGCTTAGCGACTTGAGCAATGATGATACTTGTGGGATTGGCTGGCAGAGGAGCCCCCTGTCGCGGGTCCACCAGAGGAATGGGTTTGCGATCGGCAAATGCGAAGGCCTCCGAGTCGGCCAAAGGCGCGCAGAGACACTTCCCAGGGGGCCGGCGCCAGCGCATGCGCGATGTGCGGAACTCCGCGGTGCGCCCATTCAGAGATAGGAGGTTACCAATCAGAGCAGCTTAATGTGTGTGTGTGTGTGTGTGTGTATGTGTGTGTGTATGTGTGTGTGTATGTGTGTGTGTGTATGTGTGTGCGTGTGTGAGTGAAGGATAGAAATGCAGATATGCGAAGGAAGGCATGCTGGGAAGGGGCTTGCCACAGGGCAGCCGGGAGAGGGGGGAAGGGGGCAAGAAAGGAGCAGACGCACAAGTGCCGAACATGATCAACTTGACAGTCTCCAGAGCCTGAAGCAGGCCAATGAGGCCGGGGACTGTGACGGGGGGGAGGGTCAGCTCTAGTTGAGCACAGCCGAAGCACGGGAATGGGACAGGAGGGGTGAAAAAAAAAAGCACGCCGTACTCATGGCCACAACGCCGCTGGAGCCGCACGAGCCGACGGTTTGCGGCGGCGGCGGACGCGGATGAAGACACCGATAGCATGGGCCATCCTCCGAGCCGTTATAGATGGTAAGCTGGTGCGGGCGCAGACACGAGGAAAGGGGTCAGGATTTCTGGGCTTTGCATTCTGTGATCGGCTCCATTGCACGGAGATCGTACCTGCCCATGCCAGCCAAGGGCACTGCCTGAAACCAGGACCCGACCGGTGGCGACGCACGCATCGCTCAGAGCATAGCGGATGCTGACATTGTCCGTCGCATCGAGGACAATGTCATACCTGAGTGGCCCGCCGCAGGTCAGAAAGGGAGGGGAGGGATCCACCATGCGCGCGATTTGGCAGAGCTACACAAACGCCCCGACTGGGGGACCGTACTGTTGGATGAGGTCGATGGCCGATTGGCGATCGAGCTTTTCCCGAATGACCGTGGTCTTTACCGAGGGATTGCGCCTGAAAGGCCGGTATGACAGTCAGTATCCGATGACGATGCAATCTCCGCGAGCAGGGCAAGGTATGGTCGCACGCGCGAATGCCTTCGGCAAGGGCCTCGGCCTTGGAGCGGCCGAGATCCGGGACACCGAAGGCAATTTGCCGGGGGAGGTTGCTGCGCTCAACGAGATCAAAGTCCACAAGGCCCAGCTCGCCTGAGGAGGTGGCCAAGAGGAGGACAGCCAAGACCGCCAGGATGTCAGCAGAAATGAAAGGAAGTGCAGTGATGCTGGGCGGGAAATGACGAAGAGGAGGGAATCGCAGGAAGTCCGGGGCAGCGCACCTAAACCACAGGCCCCGAGGTACAGACCGGCCGGGGCACCGAGCCCACCGCAGCCAACTAACAGGACCCGGGCCTGGGCCAAGCGAGCTTGTCCGGAGAGCTTGGCTGCGGGATTGATCGAGAATTCCGAGCACAGGTCGTTCCCCAGGCCCGGCAGGGTCCAAGGGGGGAGCTCAGCGGCCGAGAAGGAGAACTCCGGCAGCAGAAGCTGCCGCGAGTAGCGGCCAATTTCCTCGACGGTCAGCCCCTCGAGAGTGACGAGCTTCGGGACACCGCCAACATCACCGGCATCGCCAGTCTTGCCAGAGACAGTGGACCCGGCTGGGAGGCCAGCACAGTAGCAGGGGGTATGCGGCACAGACACGGGGCAGGTTGAGGCGGATAGACCCGCCTCAAGGGCCGCAATGTGTGCCTCTGCGCATTCGATACGCCGGCGAAGGAGATCCGTCTCCGTGGCGACGGACATGAGGGGGAGCCAGAGCCGGGGCGCGAGGCAGGGCAGGCAGGACAGGAGGTAACAGTGCGGGTGGGGGAGGGGGCACAACGGTAGCGCGCGCGCGTGCGTGCATGTGTGTGTGTGTGTGTGTGTGTGCGCGCGCGAGACCGGAATATTGTGGGGGCTTTTTTTGTGAGAGACAGTCAGATCACTTGCCCACGGGAGCCGCCATCTGGAGAAAACCCACCCCTTTGTGGTATTCCCCCCCTTCGCGTCCCCACGCAAAATCCAGATGCCCTTGGTTTGGACACATTCTCCGACACTGGCCTGGTGGGGGAAAGCTGCTTGTGCGGCATGGAGTTGGCAGGTGTGCGTGTGTCTGAACACGCGTGTGCGATCGGGAGGCAGATCGATCGGCCCGGGGATTTCTCGCTGGCTTTTAATTCTATTAAGGGTGTATTGTCTAAAAAAGCAGGATGAAAGGGTGCTCCAAATGGGTTTGTGCGCCTGTGTGGGTGTATGTACAACCGGTGTATTCCCCCTCACTTGGACTCGGACTTCTTCTTATCCTTCTTGGCAGATTTATCCTCCTTGGAGGACTTCTTCTTGTCGGACTTGTCCTTCTTGTCGGACTTTTCCTTCTTGTCCTTCTTGTCGGACTTTTCCTTCTTGTCTTTCTTGTCGGACTTCTCCTTCTTGTCAGACTTGTCAGACTTGTCCTTCTTGTCAGACTTGTCCTTCTTGTCAGACTTGTCCTTCTTGTCAGACTTGTCCTTCTTGTCAGACTTGTCCTTCTTGTCCTTCTGCTCCTCCTTGTCGGACTTGGCCTTCTTGTCCTTCTGCTCCTTCTTGTCGGACTTGTCCTTCTTCGCAGACTTTGAACCCTCCTCACCAGGCTTCTTGTCATCCTTTCCGGGTTTCTCGTCGGACTTCTTCTTCTTGTCCTCCTTCTTGCTGGACTTCTTGTCCTCCTTGCGAGACTTCTTCGGCACCGGGTCCGGAGCATCCGCCTGGGCCGCATCATCGCGACTGCGCTTCCGGGCTTCCTTGTCACGGCCCTTGTCACTCTTCGAGGACTTGAGCACCTTGCCGGCCGACACGGCCTCGCGCCGGCGCTTCTTGCTAGGCTCGAGCTCGGGCTCCGGCTCCGGCTCCGACTGATTGTCATCCGAGGAATCGGAGCTCAACGAGGCCGAGGAGGAGGAAGAGCCAGCGGCGGCCCGGGCACCACGCTTACGCTTCTTCGACGAGCCACCATCTTCACCATCGTCTTCGGAGCTCTCCGACGAGTCAGAGGCGCTGGACGAATCGGAAGATGCAGAAGACAGGTTGGAGGAATCCGAAGAGGCGACCACCGCAGCCGGGATGGCCACAGGAGATAGCTTGATTTCTGGCTCGGTATCTGAATCGGAGCTCGAGGCCGAATCCGAGTCCGAGCTCGAATCCGAAGAGGAGGACGAGCTGCTGGAATCCCCCTCCGGGAAGATGTATCTCCCGGCGCTGGGCAGAGCCGGCTCCTCCTCCTCCTCCTCCTCCTCGTCGTCGTCAGAGGCCGCCGAGTCAGAGCCGGATGCCGGCCCATCAGCAGACGGATCCGAGGCCCGAGGCGCCTCGATGAGGCCGACCACGGTGGCCACCGGCGGGACCCCCTCCCACCGGGGAAGGGCCCACGAGTCGTCCATAGCGTCGAGGGCATACTTGGCCAGCAGAGCCTCGCTGGCCTGGACAGCGGCAGCAACCGACTGGCGAGTCTTCTCCGTGGTAGCCAGCTTCTCCTCGGCCAAAAGGTCCTTCAGGGCGGCGAGGGCCCGGCGGAAGCGCGGCCGCATGGGCTCCAGCTCGCGATCGAAGTTGACGCGCCAGCGCTCAAGACGGTTGGCCTCCGGCGCCTGCCCGCCAAAGGACTTGATCGTTCGCCGGTGCATGTCCCGGAAGGGCCGCACCTCGGTCGGCAGGCAGATGGTGTGCGCGTGGCCAGTGCGCCCGGCGCGAGCCGTCCGCCCAGCGCGGTGAACATACGTCGGCAGGCGCATCGGCGCATCGTAGTTGATGACATGCTCGATGATGTCCAAATCCAGGCCACGGGCCATGGAGTCCGAGCAGATGAGACTATCCCCCCCCCCCCCCCCGTCACAGACCCATCCCAGGAAAGCGGCGCCAGGAGTGTGAGTTTCGAGGTTGCACGCTGCCCCAAGTGCCACTCTTGTGTGTTCCTCTGCCCGGCCAGGAGCAAAAGTGCACGAAGGAGGAAGGGGGAGAAATGCCAAGAAAGGGGCCGGCAGACCCACCGAGCAGCACGTACAGGTTGATATGGCCATTTCGGAAGCGATTGAGAATCCGCGTGCGAGACTTCATATCCAGGGCACCGGAGAATTCGGCCACCTCGATGCCACCGAGCAGCTGCACCAAGCGGAAGAGCCTATACGTGGGAAGCCGAGCAGGGCAACGTCAGCAAAGGGAACCCCCCGGCCGGGAAGGGAAGGAGGGAGGGAGAAATCGGGGGACCGAGGGAGCCAGGGTGGGGTGGGCCCGGCCGGCCGGCAGGAGCAGGCATCATGGAAAGCCGCCACTCCATGCCACGATGGGAGTCCATGACTGGGAGGATCATGGGCAAGTGTTCGCAACGCACCGGTGCGTGGATTCCACACTGCTGACGAAGCAGACCACCTTCTGCATGCCCAGGCGGCGCAGAGCATACAGCAAGACCAGGGGCTTGTCCTCGGGCGCGGAGACTACCATGTGCTCGATCAGAGTGGGCGGCATGACGAAGGAGCGCTCCTCCTGGGTAGAGGTCTGGGAATGTGCAGCGCCGGTGGCCATGGCCGTGGCACCGTGCGGCTCCTCGGCCATCTGGGACACTGGCTGCAGGCCGAGGTCCACAGTAAAGAAGCGTGGCCGGAAGAGGCGCAGACTGGCGATCTTGGCCGGGTTACGCGTGAGCGTGGCACTAACCAGGATCTTCTGAAGGAACTGGTGCCTCGGCGGCTCGCGCATGCACGGGGTATGGCCCTGGGCCCGAAGGGACACGGCGTCCGGTTCCGGGGTGTTCCTGCGCACGAGCACATGCATTCGTGTACATGTATGGATGCATGCATACGTGTGTGTGTGTGTGTGAGTGTGTGTGTAAATGTGAAACGTGAGTAGGGGAAAGCAGACAAAGAGGCATGTGTACAAAGAGGCCTCAGCAGGACGCACCAGCTGGGCGCCGTGGCCCGCGGGTCGCATGCCTCGAGCACACGGGGCAGCCAGTTGTGGTACGAGTCATTCATCAGCCGGTCGGCCTCGTCAATCACCAGGAAGCGCAGATGCTGCAGGGTAAAGCCCGGGGTCTGGGCCAAATGGTCCATCAGGCGGCCAGGCGTGCAAACCAGAATGTCCAGGGCACTGTGGCCGCCGGCCAGGCGGCCGGGACCGGCAACATGCCCCGGAGCGTCATCCTCCGGCTGGAAGGCCGACAGCGCCGGATGCACCATGGAGGCCTGCTCCGCGGACAAGGACCGAATACCGGCGGCCAGGCCCACGCGCAAATCCGTCCCGGCGATCAGGCGACTGAAGACCTGGTGAATTTGCACGGCCAGCTCGCGCGTCGGCAGGACCACCAGCGCCCGGAGGCGGACCACCCGTCGACCGGTCAGGGCCTCGATCACGGGCACCGCAAAGCTCAGGGTCTTGCCGCTGCCGGTGGGCGCGGCGATACACACGTCACCGGTGGCCAAACCAGCCAGTCCCAGTGGCAGGGGCTCGCCTCCGCCAATGGAGACCCCCGGCTCCGAGGGATTCTCCCGGCGAAGGGTCTGACACACGGCCGCCTGGATGGGGAAAAGCTTCTCAATGCCAAACTGCCGGGTCAGTGTACGTGCCATGGTCGAGGACAGGACCTCCGGCTGCGGCTCCAACAGCGACAGACCCTGTGTCAAGTCCGAGGGGAACACCTGGATGAGCGTGCCATCGGTGGACCGGGCGGTCGCGCGCGCCGTCAAGGACAACGAATCATCAAAGTCCTCCTCGGCCATGTCCAGGGTCTTGCCGGTGTCTGGCAGCCCAGTGGCGACATCCACCGCCGGGGTGGTGTACGCCCGGTCGATGAGAATCTGGCGGGCCTTCAAGTCGGCCAGCTGTCCGGGCATGTTCTCATTCAGGCTGCTCTCGTCTTCCGACTCGTCGCCATCCTGGTCGTCATCGCTGTCGGAGGAGAGGGCTTCCTCCTCCTCGTCGTGCGACTCGATCGGGGCGTCGGCCTCGGCTTCGAGGCCATCGGCATCGGCGTTGGCGGACTTGCGCGGGCGCGCGCGGAACCGGTTCGACAAGGGCCGCTGTTGAGCCAGCGCCTCGGCCCGGCGCTGCACCCGGTGCCAGTTCTTCAGGGCATTTTTCGCCGGATCCAGGGCCTTCTTCTTCTTGGCGGACTTCCCTGGCGCTGGCGCGGGCCGAGCGGACACCGCGGACATGTCAGCGGCTTTGTACGGGGGGAGGAAGAGGAGGAGGGGGGGGGGACGGGCTGAAAGGAGGGAGAGAGAGAGGCAGAGGCCGGGCAGAGGGGGAGAAGGGATGGAGAGAAGGAGACACAGGGAGAGGGAGAGAGCGAATAGGAAGGGGAGAGTGTGTTACCTCTATAGCGCGGGCGACCCCCCGCCGCAGCACCGCTCGAAAAAGCCCCGGCCCTTGCGTCTCCATGCTGTTGGAGATCGCTCCGCTCCACTCCACACACACACACACACACACACACACACACACACACACACACACACACACACACACACACACACACACGCCGGCTTGTCCCCTCGCCTCGCGCCATTCCCACCAGCCAGGGCGCTTTCTTGGGGGTCGGCTTTCCTGCCTGTTTCCGCGCCGTGCCGCGCCCCCGGCCCTTGTCTCCGGGCGAGGGAGAGAACCGCCGCGAAGCCATGCGCCACAATCGCCTCGCGTGGGCAGCTACCAACGGAGTGGGTTCGGTCCGTCGGGAGCAGGAAATTGCCCGTCTCCAAGGAGTGGCCAAGAGACCTGTCGATACTCGTGAGATGTTGCTGCGTTTGTATTCAAGAGGCGAGGGGGGGGGGGGGGGCGGGTAGCGCATGCGGAGGCGAGTTGGGCATGGATGCCCCCTCCCCGCCCCCCCATACCCACCTCCGTCCCCACGCCAGGGGCCAGAGGATCATCCCCCCATGGCCGACCATCTTGCCGGATAGCTCTTTTGTCTTTTTCCAATGGAAGTAGCGAGCGGCACGATCCCACATGTACTACTGTCCCATGCCATCGTCGCCAGGGCATGTATGGGTGCGGGCCTGATGGGCCCCGCTCGGGAGGAGGCGATCTCCTTCTACAGCGGAGGGAGGGGAAGAAAGCATACATGAGTGCATGCATGCGCGCGTATGCCCACAGGGAGCTGCACAAGCACGGATGGAGAGGAGAGAGAGAGAGAGAGGGAGCGGCGGGCATGGCAGGGGCCGGGATTCTTTTTTCCTCCGCCTGGTGACACCCTTAGGCGGTGGCCGCCGGGGCCGGGCTCCCGGCATGCTTGACCTTGAGGGCAGCCAGGGTCTCCTCGGACAGGCGCTCAAAGAGGCGGGCCGGGGTGCCGATGACATGGCCGGGCTTGATGCCAAAGCGGAAGGACTCCGACAGCGCGAGGAGCGGCAGGACGGCGCCAGACTCGGCAGCCGGGGACAGCTGCTCGCAGATGGCCACCGAGGTGGCCGGGATGAAGGGATGCAGCAGGGTGGCAATGAGGTAGACGAAGTTGACCATGACATAGAGGAGGGTGTTGCACTCGTCGGGATTCTCGTTCAGCAGGGTCTGACCGAGCTATGGGCATGCCGCACGCGGGACACGCGGAACGAGCGGGGCGAGGAGAAAAAGGTTGCGCACGTGCGTGTGTGTGTGTGTGTGTGAGCAAGAGGAAGGGCAGGGCGTGCTTGTGCGCGAGTGCGAAAAGGAAAGCTCCCCCCTCGGCCAAGTCCCGATTCGGATGGGGGGGGGGGGGGGGGGGGGCGGGGGGGGGGGGGGGGGGGGGGGGGGGGGGGGGGCAGCCAAGAGCGAGAGAGGCCATGGGAGTGAGGGGACATACGCCAGTGGCAGTGATGAAGTTGTTTCCGGCGGCCGAGATACGCATGACCAGGTGCAGGGCATCACGAATGCGCAGGGTCTCCATGCGATCGAGGTACTCGGCCAGCAGGGTGTTGACCTCCTGCACGAAGGGATGGGTGGCCGGGTCGAAGTTGGGCCCAGGAGCCGGGACCTGGCGGCGGTAGCGCGAGTCCAGGAACTTTGGAGTGGGCATGGGAACACGGGCGCATGGATGTGCAACGGATATGTGAGAAGGCCAGCGAAAGGAAGGGCTGTGGCCCGGCGGGCTGGACAAATGACGGGGAGAAAATGCGGCCCTCGGGCCCGAGGGCCGATCGTACGCACGCCCAGGGTCCGGTTGACCAGGTTGCCGACATTGGCCAGCAGCTCGGAGTTGACACGCAGACCGAAGTCGGTCCAGTTGAACTGGGAGTCATGCTGCTCCGGGCGGTTGGCCAGCAGGTAATAGCGCCACAGACAGGCCGGGATGCCGGAGGCGATGGCATCATCGCCGAAGACACCGATGTTCCGGGACTTGGAGAACTTGCCGCCCTCGTAGTTCAGGTACTCGGTGGTGCTCAGGTGGTTGAGCATGGTGTACTTGTCACCGGTGCCGATCAGCGAGCAGGGGAACATCACCGTGTGGAAGGGGACATTGTCCTTGCCCATGAACTGGTACAGCTGCACCTGCTCCGGGTTCTTCCACCAGAGCTCCCAGTCGTCGGTGTACTCGGCCGTGATGGACAGATAGCCGATCGGCGCGTCGAACCACACGTACAGCACCTTGTTCTCCATGCCAGGCAGGGGGACCGGGGTACCCCAGGACAGGTCGCGGGTCATGCACCGGGCGCGCAGGCCCTCACGCAGCCAGGACTCGGTGATGGACTTCGAGTTGTCGCTCCACATGCCTACATCGAGGGAGCATCGGGAGAGACACGGTGAGGGGGGACCAGGAAGGGAGGAGAGGGGGAAGGGAGTGAGGAGGAAAGAGAGATGGAGAAAGAGAGAGATGGAGAAAGAGAGAGAGGGAGAAAAAAGGGGGAAGAGCAAAGAAAGGCAGGGAAATCCGTGTCCTGGGGTCAAGGGACACGAGAAAAGCCCCAACATAAGCGGAGCGTGCAAGCCACCGAGTAACAACAGCAACAGCAACAGCAACAGCAGCAGCAAGGGACATGTACGGGGGCTGGAGGACGTACCGGTGGAGGCCTCCTTGATCCAGGCCTGCAGGTCGTCCTGGACCTTCTCCAGGTGGAGGAACATATGCTCGGACTGACGCATGACCGGGGTCGAGCGGCACAGCTTGCACCGGGGATCGATCAGCTCCACAGCATTGATGAGCTTGCCGCACCCGTCGCACTGGTCACCGCGGGCATCGGGGAACTTGCAGAAGTTGCAAGTGCCCTCGACAAAGCGATCCGACAGGAAGCGCTGATCCTTCTCGCACCACCACTGGTCGATGGTCTGCTTGGAGAAGAGCCCGCGCTCGTAGATGCGAGAGAAGATCCCCTGGGCAATGCCGGCATGCTTGGGGTCGGTAGTGCGGCCGAAGTGATCGAAATCAATGTCAAACCACTTGTAGATGGCCGTGTGCAGGGCATTGTACCGGTCGCAAATGGAGCGACAGCTCTCGCCGCGCTCGGAGGCCAGGGTCTCGGTGGCGGTGCCATACTCATCGGTACCACACACGTAGAGGGTGTTGTAGCCGCGCTGACGGCAGTAACTACACAGGAGAGCGGGGGGGGGGGGGAACAGATGGGCCGCATGTCAGCAAAGTCACCGGGCAGGGGGAGGAGGGGGGATCGAGATTCCAGCCGCAGTCGGTGGGGTTCTACACGGACCGGGCATAAACGTCAGCCGACAGGACGCAGCCGATGATGTTGCCAAGATGCGGGCTGTTGTTGACATAGGGCAGGGCACTGGTAATCAGGATGTTGCGCTCGCCCTCCTTCGGCAGGCTGTGGGGGAATGCATTTCGGCGGAGGGGCAAAGCATGAGAGGAAGGCGACCGAGGGGGGAGAAGGAATTCCAGCGGAGGAAAAGACAGCTGTCAGTGGCAGAAGACGCTTTTCTCGGCGAAGGCGATATTACGGGCGGAGCGAGGGACAGGGGAGATGACAACATACATGGTGCCCGCGGAGGGAGACTGGTGGAAGAGCGACTCATCGACCATGCGCAGGGCGGCCAGAGGCTCGGTGCAGTCAATGACAATCAGGCTGACGCCCTGGAAAAGTATGCATGTGTGTGTGTGTGCGTGTGTGTGTGTGTACGGGGGCCCGTGGGTGTGCGAAGGAGATGTCAGAAGCAGGCACACAGTCGGTAATGCTCGGCCCACGCCTGCGAGGAGTCCCCTTTCCAGCGAGGTTCGCCATGGAGCAACAGCATGAGCCACAGGGCCCGAGGGCTACGCACGGCATTGGTGATGGTGGCATGGGCATCCAGCAGCAGAACCTCCGGGTTGCCGAGAGCCTCGGTCATGCCGGCCAGCAGCGGAGCCGAGACCAGCTTCTCCAGGAAGCCAGTCAGCGGGGTGGACACATCACGCGCATGGTTGCCAGCCAGACGGGCGAAAACCACGAGGTTCTCCAGCAGGGAAAGTTTCTGCTGGGGCGGGGCGGGGGCAGGTGCAAGATCGAGTCAGCAATGTGCGACGGTGAGGTGTGTGTGTGTGTATGTGTGGCTTTGGGGCGGCTTGCCAGCTATGCGGCATTTGGGAGTACCTGCTGGCTGGCGAAGTGCTTGGCGACCAAGGCGCTGACCGAAGCGTCGGAGCTGCCGGCGCTCAGGGTGTCCAGCAGGGTGAAAAGCCGGAAGCCGGCCAGGAACTCATCCAGGCCGATCAGACCGGCCGACTGGAGGATGTGCCCGACGATGGCGATGGTCGAGAAGAGGACCGACGCGCCGGACTTCACCTTCATGTGCACGTCGCCATGGTAGCCGGCAACTGGGGGACCTGGTCAGCAGACGGCCGGGAGGCATATTCATGTATGTATGTATGTATGTGTGTGTGTGTGTGTGTGTATGCATCCACAAAGGAGGGCTGGGCAAGGGGTGGGTGGGCATCCGAAGTGGCCAGGGCCAAACGCACGAGCCTCATCGGCCTTCGGAGTAATCTCCAGCTGAACATTCAGACCGGCGTCGTTGGCGAGGCTGATCGCCGCGGCCACAAGGACCGCCTCGCTGATGTTCGACTGAGCCTGGATAAAGACGACAGGGGACATGCTGGCAGGGGAGCAAGCAGGTGAGAGGGGGGGGGGGGAAGAAAAGGAAGGGGGAGGGGGGAGGAGGGCTCTGGTGCACATCAGCGGGGCAACCTGGGGATGCCGGCTCTTGGGCTTTTTGTCCGGGGGGGAGGGGGGGGGGGCCGCCGGGCCGGGGCGCCGGATGTTGATGCCTTGTGCCGGAGGGGGCTGGGTCGGGCCAACCAGCAGGGCCTGAGCCTGCGCATGTTTCTGCCGGACCAAGCCCGCCCCCCTCCGTGCCTCCTCCCCACGCGCTGCACCCCCCCCCCCCAGGGCACCCCGGGCAAGGCGGGGCGGGACGAGCGCGGGAACCAGCCCGCCAGAATCGATTGACATTGTGTTCTAGTGTGCGTCGACTCGCCGTGGGAACCAGAGCCTGGTGTCGGGGAGCGCGATATCCGAACTGCCGATGCATCGGCCCCACCGACCCGCGGAGTCCTGGCCGCGCCGGACCGCCACGTGCCGGTTGTCGGCGTGCCGGTCAAGCTGCGGCGGTGTTCAGGCCCCGTCCCGCACGAGGGGCGTGGCGGGGAGAGATCTTGTCCTGGGGGGCGGGGGTGGGGGCGCCCAGGCTCCCACGCACGCGGACGCCCACCCGCGTCGACCCTTTCTCCTCGAGGCCCGGGGCAGCCAGGAGTTGTGGCATGCCTATATGCCTCGGGGTTTCCTCGTGCTGTCGCGCATGTGCGCGTGTGCGGGCTGCGAGAGCGGCGTGGGCCGGGAGCATTCTCGAGGCGCACGTCTCACCTCATGTAGCGGGATTTTTGGCTGCCCGCTCAAGCGAGATGGCCGCCCAGGCACCCCAGGCCATTCCTCCAGACACCTTTTTCTCTCTTGGATTCCTCCTCCTCCTCCTCCTCCCTTTCCTCCCCTCTCCCTCTTTCCCTCTCGCTCCCCGGAATGCATTCTCAGTTGCTGGCGCTGAGGCGGGTGCCCCCGCAGCTACCCATCAGGCCATGCTTGTCGACAGCCGGCATGCGTCCTGCACTCGGCTGTCGATTCTACTCCGCGCAATCGGACGAGGAGGAAGCCTTCGACCGTTTGCTGACCCACTTGGATGACGCCGCCAAGGCCCCGGCCGGCATGGCAGCTACCGGTCCCCCGCACAGGGCCTCGGCCGGTGCTCCGCTCGGGGGCGCTCCTCCTGGGGGCAGCTTCCCCGGAAATGGTGCTTTCGGTGGCCACTTCCCGGGCAGCGCCATCCCTGGCGGAGGCGGCTCCAGTATGCCCCGCAATGGTCAGGGTGGTGGCTCCACCGGTGGTTTCCCTGGTGGCCACTCTGGTACTCCGGCCGGTGGCATCGGTGGCTTCCCCCGGGCGGCAGGTGGTTTCCCCGGCGGTGGCGGCGGCGGCGGCTTCCCGGGCGGTGGCGGCGGCTTTCCGGGCGGTGGCGGCGGCTTCCCGGGCGGTGGCGGCGGCTTCCCGGGCAGTGGCGGTGGCTTCCCGGGCGCCAATCGTTTCCCCTCTGGTGCCGGGGGCTTCCCAGGAGGACCAACTGGGTTCGCCAGTGGTCCATCAGGCTTCCCACATACTCCCGATGGTACTTCTGCTCAAGTCGCTAGCAGTCGGCCAAACAGCTACTACAGCCCCCCCGCATCTCACGGCTTCGCCGGGGGCTATTCAACGCCCAGTCATGGTCAGGGATTCCCTGCTGGAAGACATCCTATGCCCAACATGGGCTATGCGCCTCCGGCTGGGGGCTATGCGCCTCCGGCTGGGGGCTATGCGCCTCCGAGTGGGGGCTATGCGCCTCCGGCTGGGGGCTATGCGCCTCCGGCCGGAGGCTATGTTCCCCCTGCCGGGGGCTATGCGCCTCCGGCCGGCCAATATGGCCCCCCGGCTGGGGGGTATGCCCCGCCTCCCGGGCGGTATGCTCCTCCTGCTGGATCCGGCGGCCATTTTGCCCCGCCACCGGCCGGTGACTTGAGCAGTGGCTTCGCGAAGGGGATCTCCCAGGGTGGCTATGGCGGCGCGCAGGCCGGTGACTTTCCTGGCCGGGCGTCTTTTACGGCGCCGGCCGCCGACTATCTGCGTGCCATCGGCAGCAGCAGCAGCAGCAGCAGCACCAATACCAACATGCACCATATGGCGCCGCCAGGCTTCCCGATGATGCCGGACTACCTTGCTGGCGTGACCCAGCCGGCGGTGGCCCCCCAGGGGCGGACCTCGGCACCGCAGCCAAGTGAAGCGGCCAAGAATGACCCCCAGCGAAGCCGCTCGGGAAGTGCCCGGAACAGTCTTGGTCTGTCGGGGGTGGCCATTCCGCGTTTCGGCCAGGATGCCCCCCCGTCGGATGACTCGCCGGGGGTCATCCCCGAGGCTGACCACCTCTTCGATGCCGATGCGCGCGACATGCCCCAGATGCCCAGGCAGCGGGAGAAGCGCGAAAAGCGCGACCGGCGCTCGGAGAATGAGAAGCGAAGCAGCAACCGGAGCCTGGACCTGCAGCAAAAGGACCCGGAGCAGCTTTTCGCCGCGCTGGACTCGAACAAAAGGCACCGGTCCAAATCCAAGTCCAAGTCCAAGGTGCACCCGTCGCCAAGGATCACGACCACTTCCAAGGGCCACTTCGAGCTGGAGTTCCTCGGCACGTCCAGCAATTATGCGACTCCCTTCCGGAATACCAGCTGCGTGGCCCTCAAGACCGGTATGTACTCGGGGGTGGGCATCCCCTTTTTGGCGTGCTGCCTGTTTGGAAACCCGGAAATGGGCCGGTTGCCTGACCTGCTTGCTTGTTTGTCCGGCATGTTGCAGACAATTCCACCTGGCTCTTCGACGTCGGCGAGGGTACCCAGCGGCAGATGCTCCTGTCTTCTGTGCGGCCATCGCGCGTGGATCGCATTTTCATCACCCACCTCCACGGGGACCATGTGCTGGGTCTGCCGGGCATCCTGTTGAACCTTGCCTCGGATGCCACTCGGCAGATCCATGTCTACGGGCCGCCAGGTACTTTGGCATCGCCCCCTCGGCCCCTGGCGTTTCGGTCGACCGGCGCACGCTGGGCCTCCATGCCGCCGGGTTTCCCTCCCCCCCCCTGCCCCGTTCCTCTCCCTCTGGCTCCTTCTCCCTCCGGCAGTGTCACCCTTTCTTCGGCTAACTTCTGCGTGCACGTGCCACAAAAGGTCTCCGGAACTTCGTCCAGACCTCCCTGCAAACGACCTCCTCGGGGTGGAGCCGCAAGCCGCTGGTCATTCACGAGCTCTTCCGTCGCCGGTCTTCCCTCACCACGGAGGATGACTTCGTCATGGAAAATGGCTGCTTCAACCTGTACGCTGCCCTCGTTGCCTGGTTGGCCCTTTTTTTTTTTGCCACATCGCTCGGCCTTCATCTCGCTTACCATCCGTCCGGTCCCCTGCCACACCTCTCCTCCTTGTTGGATCACCCCCCGCCCCCCCTCCAAACCCCAACAACCACATAAACACCCACACATCACCCCTTCCCGCGATGGTCCAGCATCTCGGCCGAAGAGGCCGGCGGCCTGGAAGTGCTGGCCGTGCCGATTGTGCACACAGTTGCCTGCTTCGGCTTCGTCGTCAAGGAGCAGCCCTTCCGTGGCCGGGTGGACAAGGAAATCATCAAGCGCCTGAAGCTGAGTCACATCCAAATGCGAGACATCATGGCCGGTGAGACGATCACCACGTCCGATGGCCAGAGTCTGACCAAGGCTGACATCATCGGGCCCGACCGCCCGGGGCGCAAGATTGGTGCGTGCCCCTCCATCCCCATTCACGGCGAGACTGCCTGCCCCCATTGGCTCGGGGAGGTCGGTCGTGCATGTATTCCTCCCTCCTCCGCTCCCCCCCCC